CATCCAAAGCCTACCATACTCTCGAGCTTCTTTCTCAGTGCGCACAGATGGCCAACTCCTCACGTAGCCCCCTGGTCAAACGACCTCCCCGTTGACCAATCAGTGTCGAGCAGCTCACTCGTCTTTCACCCGATAACGACAATAATGAGTGTCGAGCTCCGCGGCCATGCTTCTATTCAGCATTCACTTTTATTTGGGCTTCACGAAATGCCGGACACCTAACCGAAGAATGTTTCACATTCAAACGTGCAACAGGAAGTTGAGCTGCAATCTCCCAGACGCAGAGCAGATACCCCGCGAGGCGTTCCCGCCAAATGGCACCTCAACTCGCGACAATGCATCGTGACATCATTCTAATTCTGGCTTTCGAGCACTACGGTTGCCGAACCTTGGTGTGAGCAGAAGCGTCGAAAATGGCTCTCGCCACCCATGGCTTTTCTGCCTCTTCAGTTAACTTGGATTCTTGCGTCCTTCTGCCTCACTGCCATCCAGAACCATGGTGCGCAATTCCGCGGTGCTGCACGGTGTCGCGAGTGGCCGCTGGAACGTCTCGGTGTGATGGGCTACATTGAGGCGCTCACGCGCCTCCCAAATGAATCATCTCTAAATGATGACCCTCAGGACGGAGGACGCCAAGATGGGCCCGGTCGCCACCAAGCAACTGGAGGTAAAGGGAAGCGTTACGCCGTCATGGACCCAGACAACGCAGACATCCGTAAGAAGCCGCATCGGCTCCCCTTCCACGCACCGGACCAAGCCAACGGGAAGGCCCTCGAGCACACCTGGAAGTTTCGCGACCTCACGCGTGAAAAGTGGAGGGCGGAAGGTTTCACCGGCATCCAGTCGACGACCGGGCTGGTGCATCTAAGCGTAAAGGAGGGCGTCCTCTTACAACATCTCCCGCACCAGTTGAGTGTTGCCGGTGGCAACGTTCTAGTCATGGTACCGGGACGTGCCCCTTTTTGTCCACGCCCCAAAGGTAAGAGACACCTCCGATTGGAGTGTAGCATACTGCAGTGCGACGAGTGACATCGCTTCGGACACAAGCGGTGCAACCGTGCTCGGACCTACGCAACAGTTCCGCGGGAAGTGGTGGCGGACGACGGCGGTGTCCTCAGCATTGACGAAAAGGAGGCAGAGGAGGCCGCACGGGACGTCGAGACTGAGAACTTCGCTACAGCCAATGCAAAACAGGCCCTGGTCGCTGTACCAGAAAAAAATGCACCCTCCACAGTTGCAGCCCGAAAGAGACGCAGCAAAACCTAACCCTTTGCGAGCGTCGGGCAGCAGCCCTGTCGTCTCGAGCAACGTCTGACTGTCTATTTTTAAAATATGTCGAGACCAGTCAAGCTCTCAAGCCACAATACACGAGCGAGGCCAGCTTGAGCGACGACCACTCGGAAATGAACGACATGAGTGAATCCTTTGAGCAGCCAGGGGATGCATCGGCGTGCTCCGAGTTCAAGCGGCACAAGAACAGCGCGCAAAGAAGCGCTTCAGCCCGAAGTTGAGCGTCCCGACAAAAGAGTGACGCCGAACATTCCCTCTGCAGGTCGGTTCTTTTAAGTTTGTGTCACTGCTCCATGCTCCTCTCTCGACATTGTTTAAGGCGTGACTTTGCCCGCACCCTTTTTTTCATGAAATGCGACCGCTCAAGGTTGCCACCCTCAATTGTGTTAGTCTTGCGGCTAGAAGAAGAAAGCAATGGGTGTTAGAAACTCTTCCGCAACTGCGGGTTGATATAGCTTTTTTGCGAGAGGCCAAAATGGCCACAGACGGCCAAGTGGAGGAGACGACGCGCTCCTTTGATCGTCACTTCGTCATCTTCCTGTCGACCGCAATTGGGCAGAACAGGGGCCCTAAACTTGTGAAACACAAAGTTGGAGCCGAAAGTTCGCGGAGCGCGCCGATTGGATGTTGGCGAGAAAAGCGCCAAGTCATCGTCGTGATTGTCCAATCGGTGCACTCCCTCAACTTCGGCCCCAACTTCGTGTTTCACGACTTTAGGGCCCCAGGGGAACGGCGATAATGATCTGCAAGAGAAGAGGCATAGCAGTCTGCCCCAAGTGGAAAGGGGACAGGTGCAGGCGGGTGTATGCCGTGGAAGTGCTGCACTGTGTACAGCTTCAAAAACTTGTATCTGTGTAGGCACCTATACTCCGTTCACCCTTAAAGGCCGACGTACACTACGTGCTTTCCACTTTTGCCTGTCTCCTCCTTTCCTATATCCTCTCCACTCTTCACCTGCCCTGACACGGTTCCCCTTGCAGTTTATTTTTTTTTTTTTTTTTTTTATTTGGAAATACTGTCGGCCCTCACTTGAGGGTCATTACAGGGAGAATTTTATAACAATACAATTACATACACAAAAAAGCCGCGGAATTTACAAGGAAAAAGCCAGCAGACACAACTCTTTTTGGAAGAAACAAGAAAAAATATGACATTCTACATAGTATTAAAACAACAACAACAACAACAGTTTTCACCCTTCAAATGTCCTGTTTATGCTCCTATTGGCTTAACAACTGTGCGATAGACTGCTCAAAGGAAGACACCGTTTCAATATTTACAATCTCGCTGGGCAATTGATTCCAGGCTTCGATTGTTCTAACAAAGAATGACTGTTTAAATGTATCAATTCTACTTTTGAAAGTTTGGCACGTTTTTGTATGGTTTAATCTACTGGATCGTTTTGAACTTGAGGGAAGAACGTATTTACTTGAACTTAAGTTCAATTTGTCGTTAATTATTAGAAAGAGCAATTTCAAGCGTGCGATTTCTCGTCTTATGTGCAAGGGCTCTAGATTGCTATTTCGGAGCATTTCCGTTGGGGATGCCGTCTGTCTATAGTTACAGTGAATAAAACGTGCTGCTTGTCGTTGAACTTTTTCTAAACTCTCAATGTCTTTCTTTGTGTAAGGGTCCCACACGACACTAGCATATTCCAGGATGGGCCTAACGTATGTTTTGTAAGCTACTGTCTTTATCTCTTTTGTTGCGTGTTTTAATTTATGTCTAAGAAAACAAAGCTTTTTATATGCCGATGAACAAATATTGTCAATGTGTTTAGACCAGGTTAAATCTCTCGTAAAAGTAACGCCGAGGTACTTGAAACTTTCCACATTGCCCAGTTCTGTATTTCCAATGCAGTACTGAAATGGAAGTGTGCTCCGTTTTTTAGTTATGTGACAATATACAGATTTAGTAAAGTTTATTTTCATATCCCAGTGGTCGCACCATTCTTCTATATGATCCAGATAGTCATTTAGAGCTCTTTGTTGATCCTGAGATTTAATTGCTGAATAAATGATGCAATCATCTGCAAAAAGCCTAATATGAATATGTGGTGGTGTTCCGTGTGCTATGTCGTTTATGTACATCAAAAACAGTAGGGGCCCTAAAACAGAACCTTGCGGTACACCCGAATATACCGGAAGGGAATTTGAAACATGCCCGTTAATTTCAACACTTTGACTTCGATTTGTTAAATAAGAATTTATCCAATTTATTATCATTGGCTCTATTCCGAAAGTTTTGAGTTTTGACAAAAGCTTCCTATGTGGCACCCGGTCAAAGGCTTTAGAAAAGTCTATAGAAATTACATCCAGTTGCTGTTTGTCATTTAATATGGATGCCATGTCATGAGCCGTTTCAACCAGTTGTGTTACTGTTGACAGTCCAGAGCGGAACCCATGTTGTTTGGAATAAAGCAACTGATTAGTATCGAGGTGATGTAATATGTGTTTGGCTATTATATGTTCCATAACTTTGCAAGCTACGGATGTTAGGGAAATCGGTCTGTAATTGTCTATGGTCAGCTTGTCTCCTGCTTTAAAGATTGGAACGACTCGTGCACAACGCCAGTCCGTGGGAAGTTGCGATGACTGCAATGAACTCACAAATAAGCAATGTAGATAAAACGACATCCATTCGGCGTACCGCCTTAAGAACATATTAGGTATCTTATCGGGGCCAAACGCTTTTTTTGTGTCAAGGTCTAACAACTTTGATAAGATTCCTTCTTTTGTTATTATCAATTCTGGCATAGTGTGTACGGTATCATAACCTTGCTCAAATCCTGACCTTGCATTTATATCACTGTCATTGCGTGCATTTTGCTCCGTCAGTTTTTCCCCATTGTTCTCGTTATTTTCGTGCTGTGCCTCGCGTGTGAATACCGACTGGAAGAACAAATTGAAGCTATCTGCTAGTACACTGGTGTCAGTTATTACCCTTCCGTCTAATGTGATCTGCTCTATGCTTTCTTTTTTTGGATTTAGATGTCGCCAGAATTTTTGGGGGCTGTTTTTTAGAAAGTTTTGAAGCGTTACTGTGTAGTAACTGTGTTTAGAGGCTTTCACCATATCTTTAAGTTGTTGACTTAATTGTCTCATATTAACACTGTTACCGTTCTTTTTTCTACACCTTTTCAGTCTGCGTTTAATGTGTATTATATTTCTTGTGATCCACGGATTATTTCTTTTCGTCTTTTTTATCCTGTTCGGTACATATTTATTAATGCAATAGAAAACTATCTCCTTGAAGCAGTTCCATGCACTCTGAACATCACCACTGTGGCACAATAATTCAAACGAATTAAACGATAGTTCTAAATAGTCAATAATACTTGTGTCGTCGGCACTTTCAAAGTCCTTGTATATGAGTCTACACGGCACAGAAGTCACAGCTGTTTTGTCACATTTTATAGTCAATAAAACCATCTTATGGTCAGATATGCCATCAACCACAGATACCTTATAGTCAGCAATATTATCACTTAAAAAAATTAAGTCCAGCACAGATTGGGTAGTATCGGTTACTCTAGTGAAGTCCTTAACCACTTGGGTAATACTGTGGCCGAAGGCAATCTCAAGCATTTTTTCACAATTTGCTTTGTCCACACTTCCAGCATGCAAAAGGTCCCAGTTAACATGAGGTAAATTAAAGTCACCTGCCAATACTATTCTCGTATTATCATTAGCATATGTCTTAAGGACAACATCCAAATCCTCAAGAAACCTAATAGGGCTGTTCGGGGCACGGTAGGCTGCGACGACAAGAAAAGATAAATCACCATATTTTATTTTACAAAACAGCATATCATCCAAACAATGATCTAAGACTACACATTGCATATTAATCTTAACAGCGATAGCAACGCCACCTCCACGAGAAGCCCTATCTTTTCTTATTAATTTGTAGTTTGGGGGAATGACACAGTCACTCTTTACATCCGATGTAAGCCATGTTTCTGTCATGATAACAATGTGCGGGGATTGACACAGCAATATACTTTCCAGGTCGGCAACTTTATTCAGTATACTTCGTGCGTTTAGATTGATTACTCTTAATTCTGCAGGAACATTCGCTTGGTTATCAAGTCATTCGCCCCTTGCACTGTGGATTCTTGTAGGGAATCGTTGATCCTGCTTCAGATCCCATTCAAAGGTCTGATTATTAATTTTGAGTTTGTCATGCACTAGAAACACTTCATCCCCATTGGCTTTGTTTTCCGAGGCAGAGTTCCATAGTTTCTTACGTTTTTCTCGGGTCTCTCTGGCATAGTCGCTACTTACACTAATCTTCGTCCCTTTTAACTTTCTGCAATTCTTTAGCACGGCTAACTTTTCATTATAATTAAACAGCTTTATTATGACTGGCCTGCATGATTCGTTTCGTTTATATCCCACTCTGTGAATCCTTTCAAGGGACGCGATTTGAACACCAAGTTTAATCTCAAATAGTTCTTTTATCACCTTCTTTTTCAGATCATCTTCACTTTCTTTGTCTACTTCTGGTATTCCAAATACTAGCAGATTGTTCCTGCGGCTTCGGTTCTCGAAGTCAGTCAATCGGTCGTTCTGATATTCTATCGTTTTCTCGAGGCTTTGAACCTTCTTCTCAATTTCTTTTACGTTTTCATTCAGAGCCTGAACAGTTTTCATTGTGATCTCAATTTTGTTGATTTTACTGTTAATCTCATTTACACTAGCTTCTAGGCGTGACTGGTTAACTTTCATATTCTCTTGGTTTGTTCTGATTTCTTTTATGTCCTCAGCAATTCGGTTCTGGTTAGATAAAATCTGGCGTACCATATCCTCAACGTTTCCGTCAGGCCCAGGGTTTTCCTCTACGTCTCCGGACAGTAAAAGTTGCCATTTACAGAACAATACCACAACATCCCAACATTCTGACAGAATTTCATGGCACTTTTGAGGACCCGGCAGGACAAACAAAAATCTACAGTCACTACGGAACTCATGTGCATTTGACATGTAACTAACCTGCGTGACGAACAAGGAATACTTCAGCATCTTGGCTGCTGCGTGGATGCCGGGCCCTCTCAAGTCCTGCTTGTCCCGTTGTTGCTTATGTAGTCCAGCTGCTGATGACGTCGATGTCGTCGTGATTTGCGGCAGCCAATCGTGGCTGCTATGCAGGAATTGGGTCGTGTCCGCTGAGTCATGTTGTGGCGCGATGAACTGGCCTGCGTTCCAGATCGGGCAAACAAGCCACGGCAGCATCTGCGTGACGAACAAGGAATACTTCAGCATCTTGGCTGCTGCGTGGATGCCGGGCCCTCTCAAGTCCTGCTTGTCCCGTTGTTGCTTATGTAGTCCAGCTGCTGATGACGTCGATGTCGTCGTGATTTGCGGCAGCCAATCGTGGCTGCTATGCAGGAATTGGGTCGTGTCCGCTGAGTCATGTTGTGGCGCGATGAACTGGCCTGCGTTCCAGATCGGGCAAACAAGCCACGGCAGCATCTGCGTGACGAACAAGGAATACTTCAGCATCTTGGCTGCTGCGAGGACGCTAAGATGACAACCTTCCTTGCAGGAAACCAAGGCAGTACGTCGGCGGGGAGGGCATCACGTTAATTTTTGATATAAATTTTTCAATATAAAGTTTAAACAATACTTGCATCCACAGTTTTGACTTATTTACATACTCTCTCTCTCTTAAATCTGTACCTTAGGGACATCTAGCAGTACACATGAGGGACTGTGGGTGCCACTGGTTGTTTGCTAGAACAATGTTCCTGAGAATGAGTGTGGAAAAAAGAACATAAGAAATAGGTCAAGGCCAAGTCATAGCAACAATATGTGATGCGTGTGTTAGTGCTCTGTCGGTAAACATGCCAACAAGGAACTTTAGTACCTGCACTAATTTTCATAGGTTTTTGTTTCTTCAAAAATTTTCGTTTTTGAATTTGTTGTGCTGTTAATTTTTTTTCTTTTCTAGCGTATTTTTTCGATATATTTCTTTTCCTTTATTCTTATTCGTTAAATCTTTCTGATATTGTCCTTTTGCTTTTCTCATCTAGCATGTTCTTTCATCTCCTTTCTCTATGATTTTCGCCTCCATATTATTTTTGTCTTCCATTATCATCTCAAAAAACGTCAGTTGAAAGTACGCTCTGTCCTGTCTACTCCTTCCTGATTCGTCCATTGCGCCAATTTTGTGTACTATGCTTTTGTTTGTACGAGAACTCGTGCATAGCAGGTACTTTTCAAAGCCACGCGCTCGGGTCCATGCCTTTTTCTGCACTGCGAATGTTTGTGAGATGTAAAGTAGCAACAGAAATCCCGCATTTACCTTCGGGCCTCTCCACACAGACGTCTTGCGACTGCACTGCGGACTCCCCAGAAGCTCTTGCGTAGCTGAACACAGTGGGCACGAAGTCAGGGTGGTCATTAAAGTTCGATTGCCACCTTAGAATTCAGCACCACGTTATAATCGAGCAAAGCTCGCCAGAAGCTTACGAAGTCGCACCTGTGATGAAGTGGGCGCTGCTTATCTGGCAATCCGCGCTCGGCTCCCAGAGCGAACCGTCCGAGTGCACTCTCCTCACTGCAGCTACCCAAGCGGTTCTCTTCTTGAGATAAAAAAGTTTCGACGGAAATCTAAACAAATTCTCGATGACTTTACGGTAATGATAATCGGTACAATTACAAACGACACAAGAAGCTGACATTATCAGTGGTCACTGTCGCAAAATTTCGTTGAGCGTCGGTTGCATGACTGGTTCATTGGCTCGGCCGGCTGGGCCAGCTCGGCTTGGCTTGGCCATTTTGATAAAATTCGAAAAAATAATAGATGGATAGATGCCCTGGTGTCTTTGCCTGGTGGGCTATGTTCCAAATCTTATCTGAGTAACCTGACTTCTACGTCAGCAGATAATACCACGTGATATCGCAAGTAAACGATCCGCGACTCAAGGAGATTACCGCGACTCGATTTTGGAACGGCCGGGATAATCACCTGGATACTACACGGATTGGCTTTGCCTTGGGCTACGGCAAAAAGAAAACATAGTGACGATGACGGAAATCAGCGGACGATCTCTTTGGATCATAATTCGTTTATTTCCATCTGAACTGATGGTGGAGGTCGAGAGAGAAAGCTGTGAATTACAGCTTGACAAGGCCCTCGACCCTTTACATCGGCAAAACAGCAGAGGAACACGAAAAAGTGCTACTTCATACGCTGCTGGACTTTTATCCGAACACGAGTGAGCTAGCGCGTCCCTTTCGCGCGTTGGGAGGCAGGTTCACATTGATAAAACCAGGAGGGCATGTTGGTTAAACGTTTCGTGTTTTTTTTGTTTTAGTACGCTAACGGGTGGACAGCCGACAACCACAGACACGAACGCATTCCGTGTCTCTCGTGCTTGTGGCTCTCCGTTGTCCACCGGCTAACGTTTAAAACAACAAACAAGGAATCTTGTTTTTATGCCAAGCCGGAGTAAATTTTTTCAAATAATTTGAGCCGAAATGTCAGGTTTAAAAATCCAAGCGCGATGTCTTCATTCGATGAAAGTGGATTCGTTATCTACTTGCCGCTGCATCTGGGCTATTTTAGAAGATTTGCTCTTTTCTTGAAGTTAGGTAATATACTACGCATTTCTAGAAATGTTATTGCGAGTATTTAAGCCTTGATTAAAATAAAGCTAAATTACAGGTAAAGAAATTTACATGCGGTCAATTTAGTCTGAAATATATTTATTTACTAATATATCTTAAAAGGTCATTGAAGATAGAAAATAGATAAAGTGAAAACCAAACATTTCTTTTGTTAAACGGTTAAACGGTTAAAGATAACAGAACACCAGGTGACAAATTCTTTCTTCGCTACGATAAACTTATCCTAAACAACGACGTGTACTCGTGGGACCACGTAAACAACACAAGCATTAAAGTTACATCCGCACGTGGGGAAAAGTGACTCTTAAATGATCAGCAGCGTGAGCTAAAAATAATAAATGTCATTGCAAAAAGCCTGGCGAACAAAGTTGAGGAGTTGGAGCGTATACTGCTTGTTCATTATCCTGATGTGGTGGTTGTAACAGAGACATTGTTACATCCTAATATAGCAAATTCAGAGCTATGCCCGCCTGAATATAACATAGTTAGAAAAGACAGGGCTTCTAGGGGAGGGGGCGTAGCTATAATTCATAAAACGTCCTTGCAGTGTATGCCTGTATCTACACCAATTGATCATGAAGTATTGCTGTGTAAACTCTGGTACGTCAATGTGTCATTCATGGTATGTGCTGTTTATAGACCACCAAATGCAGCTATCAGTATGATTAGCGATCTCAATGATTACTTATTTCAGCACGTTAAACCCTCAACTAATTTCATCCTACTGGAAGACTTCAATCTACCGCACATTGACTGGAGTACACTTACTGTGTCCAATAAAGATCGTGCAAGTGGAGAGGCCCTGATTGATTTAACATTTTCACTAAATTTAGTTCAAATAGTAAATTACCCTACTAGGGGCGAATCACTGCTAGATTTGTTTTTTTTAAATGATCGCTTGCTTAGTAAAAAATACAGCAGCGAATTTTGCGAAGGTATTGCTGATCATGATATGGTGCTTGTGTCAATTTATTAGATCAAAGATTGCGATCTTTACCTGTTCTGTTAACAGTTCCAGATTTCAACAATGCTGACGACGTTTCTATCATCGATTTTTTAGAATTGTCTTTTGATAAGTTTGAACAAATGTCTTTTGAATGTGGTTCTAACATTGAAGCGCTGTGGTACTACTTTAAGAATATTGTAAACAAGTGTATATTGAAATATGTACCTCATCGAAAGAAAAAGACTAACGTTCATAATCCATGGATTAACAGAGATATCTTGCATTTGAAACGTAGAATTGCCCGAGCGAGAAAAGAATTCTAAATCTAATAGAACAGAAATATGTCGCCAGCTTCTTTCTGAATTAAATGCACGACTTAAACTTGAAATCTCAGAAGCAAAGAAAAAATATTTTAATACTTCGCTCCGCTCTTTCATTAAAAGTGCGCCATAAAAGTTCTGGCGTTATATCTCACCTAAGGATAAGTCATCTGTCCAAAGTAATATTACCGCGACTGAGTTCAATTCTTTTTTTAAATCGGTATTTACTACTGACGACGGAGTTCTCCCAAGCCTCGAAGTTAACGATGCGGACGTAATTAGTGACATTTTTATAACTCAGGAGGGAATTTTTAACTTAATTTTAAATAAATTTGACGCTAAGAAAAGTACTGGGCCGGATATGATACCAAACACTTTTTTTAAAAAGGTATGCAGAATGGATGTCCAAGTATTTACATGTTTTGTTTTGTTATTCTCTTGAGTATGCAGTATTACCAAATGACTGGAAGACAGCAAAAATAATTCCGATACATAAAGAGGGTGACTGGAGTGCAGCATCAAACTTTAGGCCAATATCTTTAACTAGCACCACGTGTAAATTGCTAGAGCATATTATTTTTACACATATTTCATGTTACTTAGATAAGCATAACCTAATATATAGAAATCAGCATGGGTTTAGGAAATCACTTTCGACTACAACTCAGCTCATAGAATTTACGCATGATTTGGCTGAAGCCCTTAACGAGAGGGGCCAGACTGACGTAATTTACTTAGATTTTTCTAAGGCGTTTGACACGGTGTGTCATCCAAAGCTGCTGGCAAAACTTTCCAGTATACTCAAAAACTCACAAATTATTTATTTATTTATTTATTTATACATACTGCAGCCCCACTGGGGCTATGGCAGGAGTGGGAGGTAAACACAGACGGTCCGGACATCACTGTGGACCACTGTCAACGGCACACAGAAATTCATCTGGTTGTAGTGATCGGATGTTTCCTGGTAATAAATTCCAGCGTTCAATGGTGTGAGGAAAAAAACTGTATTTAAACATATCAGTACGAGGATGAAAAGGTAAAATGTTTAATTCATGGTGGCTCCTAGTTGCAGTTGGCTCGAGAAACTTTATGTAGTTATGTAACGAGTCAAAACGTGATGAGTTAACCATGAAATACAGAGACTTTAGGCGCTCGATACCACGACGCTCAGAAAGAAGTCTTAGACCTAACACGGAAAGATTAGAAGAAGGAGAAAAGTTTCTGTCATACCGACGACAAATAAAACGTACCGATTTCTTTTGTACTGATTCGACCTTTTTGATATCGGACTCTTTGTAGGGATACCAAATAATAGAACCATATTCGAGGATTGGGCGAATCAAAGTTTTATAAGTTAAAAGCTTAGTATCTTGTGGTGCCACACGTAAGGTACGCCGCAGGTATCCAAGTCTTTTAAGAGATTTGTTACATGTCGTATCAATGTGCTTAGACCAAGATAAATCAGGCGTGAAAAGGAGGCCAAGATATTTATATTCAAAAACTCTTTCTAGGCATAACCCGTCAAATGAATAATTAAACACAGAAGGTGATGAACGCCTAGAAAAGGTCATAAAAACCGTTTTACTAAAATTCAGGTTCAT